AGATAGGTCAGAGAACTGTTGTAGAAATCCAGGAAAAAGATAGAAAGGGGGGAACCCAGGTCAGGGTAATGAGGAAAAGAAAACTGGATCAGGAAAAAAAGGAGTTTTTGATTGTGATGACTCTAGGAATGGGCTATCTTTCTGGTTTGGTTGGTTGGCTGGAAGAGGTCACTCACATCACATCACATAGACCAGTGGAGGCAAAGCAGGCTTGGGTGTATTTATTGGTGCAACACAGGGGAACAGTGGGAGGAGAGGAGGGGAAGGTGGTAAGTTCAACTAACATCATGATGACCTTGAGATTCTCATGAAGGCTCCCGCAGACAATTGGATAGATGGGTCTGCAGCTCAGGAGAGGGTTCTTGGGTGACAGCATATAAATTCTATTCTCTTTTGAAACATGGTTCCTAGACTAACGCACTTCTCTTGTCAGCATATTGAGAAAATACCTTTAGTAGTTTCTCCAGCTTTCAATGAACTATTTCCATCTCACCCACAAATTTGGAATCATCGTTAAAATAGAATCTAAACTGAGACAGAGTTAAGAACAGAAAGAAGGACTAGCTCAAAAGTAGACCCTAGAAGATTTTGTGATTGATTATTTTGCAGCGGGCGGGGATCAGAGGATGGGAAGATAAAGAAAGGAAGTGATAATGCTTCTCAAGCTGACCTTTTGACCTTTCTATCTATACTTCCTTAATTTTCTCTTGATCCAACTTGAAGCAAAAAAACCATCCAACTTCTGCAGAAACAGCATTCCTGGGAATGTACACTTCTCTCATTTCTCTTCTTTCCTTTCTGGTGCCCTCACTCTCCTGCACACTAAAGTTCAGAATACGCAGTACAATTATTGAACTTGTCTGTATTTTATCATGGGCCTCCCTTGCTAAAGTATGTGAAATGACTCTCTATTATCTTTTAGATCAAGGTTGGACTTCTCACTCTGCCACCTGAAGCTACTTTTTCTCCAGCTTGATTTCTCTATTTGATGAGATGCTGCCCAATATTTATGACCTATTTTGTCCCATGTTTAGTAACGATAACACCCATGTTCTGGGAAGTGCTGACCAATAAAACTTTCTGACATGATGGATATGTTCTTTATCTGTGTTGTCCACCCTATGGGGTTACTGAGCACTTGAAATGTGGCTGTTATGACTGAATAACTGAATTTCATTTATTTTAACTCATTTTCATGTACATAGTCACTCATGGCAATTGTCTACTGTACTGAACAGCACAATGCTAGGGGCTGTTCTTTTTCTTTCTATTAGAATAAAGGGGGGTTTCTGACTTAATGGGCCTTCATTTCCCCCTTCCCCAGAGTGTTCTGCATCTGACTTCCCATCTTGCCTCCTTGGTCTGTCTGCAGCCCCCTCTCCAGCCCACAACCTGGTTCAGAAACCCTTCCCAAAGGGCTGGGAGCATGCATTCAGTGTGCAACCTCTGGATCACAAGCAAAGCTTATCATAGTTATTATTTTCATTATGAGAAATAGTTCCATTAATAGTAACGGATTTCTTTGTTTACTTTATCCGGGAACAAGTCACACCCACAAAGAGAGACTGTTCAAAAGAACTAATAAGGAAAGTTAGTCAAAACTAATCAAACTCAAGGCCCAGCAGGCTTTCTTCCTTGATATTTCAGTCATCTCATGATATGCCTGGCTGATGAGCAATGCCGAGGGCTGGGGTGAAACATGGCCTTGAATAGGACAGAAAGTTCCCCTGCTTAGTCACTGGCTCATTGAAGCCCCAGACATCCTCTCCCCCTTGTTTGGGACTGATGTTAGCAGTGTGGAGCGCTAGGTACTGAGCCATCCACACTCTAACCTTTAACGCATGACCCAGTGACCACATACCACCTACACGGGGGATGATGACAGGCACTCAAGAAATGCTGGGTGGATGTATTGGTGAACAGCAAGCACCATATCTGGAATATAAAAGTTAGTCAAGGCCTTGACAATATGTGGGCCGACAAGGTGGCATCCAAGCCCCTCTTGGCCAAATCTAAGAACATTAGATCCTCATACCTACCTTTGCTAGGCCATTCTGCAATGCACAGATGCTTCTAGAGGGGGGTTTTGTTTTTATGTGTGTTTGTTTTTGCCACAACAGAACAGAAAATATTTTCTCAAAACTAACAATAAAATAATATCGCAGCAATGAGTTCTTCTGTGCTGAGTTAATTCTCTTCAATCTACAGTGTCTTTTTGGCTCCTGCTCCCCCCAACCCACTTCTTTAATGCTGCTGGAGACCTTTAGTTTCTCCTATCTCCTCTAGTGGTTTTAACGATTTCCCTGGGTCTCTCGGTGTAGCCCATGAAGTCCAAGTCTTTGTATTCATCAGGTGGCATCTGTCTGTTTTCCTTCTCTCCTGTGCTGGCTTCATGTGGTAACATAATCCCCCAGAAACCAAATGAAGAATCTGCATTATGCCCCTGCTAGAAAAGGTCCTCCCTCCCGAGTCTAATGTTACTTTTGTAACCATGAAACTAAAGCAATAGGAAAAGTGCTCCAGCACTGTTCCAGGGCAATAGTTTCATGGTTACAAAAGTCACACTGGGCTGGGCCACACAGAGGCTATATGAAGGTGGGGAGAATCCCCCAGCATTTGCCACAATGTCTCTTCCACTGTGTGTGTGTGTGTGTGTGTGTGTGTGTGTGTGTGTGTGTGTGTGAACCATTCTTTTCAGCTCTCCCTACTACTTACTCTCTTTCTAGGACAGATATGACTCTTTGCAGGTTACAGTCTCAGACCTAGAGAAACACAGAGCTGTATACAGTTCTTTGGATTCTTTCCTCTCCATTGTATTTCTGCTGAAACCCTCCTATGTTTCCTTCAGATCATTTGTGCAGCCTTAGAATAAGTGATTAGCCCATGTCTGTTCTATGTGTTACAGATGGAAGATTTGGAAGACGGCAGTTAACTAAAAAAATTTAGCTGGGATTCCAGGACCCGCAGATGTAAAGCAAACTTTTTGTAATCATGCTGACAAATTGTCATCAAAATGTCAAATTACTTTTTACTACAGTTGAGTATATGCACTCTTATGATGATGTCTGTCCAATAGGAGGCTGTTGAATCAAATGTGTCTTGTCCCTTATGTACAACATAGTTTGACCTCTGCAGTCCCTGGTGGGAGGTAAGGGGTGACTGCAAGCTGGCATCTGAGAATAAAGGTATGTGACAAGAACTCAAACCCCTTGTGAGGGTCCAAGGAGCCCAGTTAAGGCAGAGTCCTCATCAGATGGCTATTCAGGATTGAAAGTTGACACATGTAAACAGGGTGGTAACTGTGGATGCAATTAGAACTGATGGAAGAAAGATTCTGTAAAGCCACATAAGATTTTGGTAATTGAAAGTATGCCGTGAACATAAATAGAGGTTGAAAACCACAGGCCTAGAATGGGATAGAAAGAAAGGAACACAAAGCAATGGGAAAAGTTGACAGTTCAATGCATTAGAGATAGGGATGAAAGAAGAGAGAAAGCTTGATGATGGAGTGACATTATGAAATGAAGAGAGAAGTTTAAGGAGCTTCCAAAGCTGATCTCCATCCTCGCAGTAAGAAGTAAAGTTAGCTGTTGATAAAAATGAGTAACATGTGCTACATTGGCCCAGAGGTTGTGCTAAGGGGCTTATATATGTAAGCTTGTTTAATCTTCACAACAATTCCACAGAGAAGGGGTTATTATTATCCTAGTTTAACCAGTGAGGAAACTGAGACACAGAGAAGTTGCACAATGGACTCAGGGTGAAATTGCCAGGAAGCGAAGAACTGGTCTCTAACAAGGTGAAATGCAATGTGGGGAGAGCTGAGCTGGCTAAGTTCAGTTGTGGATGTTCTGGGAACTGGCAAAAGCTGAACAAAGGCATTGGAAGATGGAGACTTCCTCCAGCAGAGAGGAATGTAGACACTGGGGCCTGGCAAGTGTGGAGCACCACGCAAGGTCAAGGAGATAAGGAGCTCCAGCATAGTTTCGAGGGCACTGTTGAATGTCTGGGAAAGAAGGAAGGGGAGGCTCAGAAGACATTTTGAAATGGGACGACAGGCAAGGTGATTCATAAATGTGTAGGAAAGAAAAGGAGAGCGTTGTACTGGATGGAAAGGACTGTGGAGGCAAACGGGACATCTGGCCCTGATCCAATGACAGGCAGAGTTCTTATGTAAAAACAAAAGGCAACAACACGATGCAGTGGGCTAAGGGGCCTGGATTCAAATTCTGCATCTGCCTTCTGTTAGCTGATTCATTTTCCTTTCTAATGCCTCTGTGCTGCAGCCGCATGGGAGGGGCACTCTAATTGAAAAGGGAGCAGCTACCGGGAGGCTCTTGGTCCAGCAGAAAAGGCTGTAAACACTCTCAGTGGACAGGGGACAGAATGGCCCTCAATGACACTCGTCAGGAAAATTCAGGAGGTGCCAGTTTCCTGCATGCTGGCTGCGTGGACAGCGCCTGGGTTTTGCGGTCCGCCAGGGAAGGACTCTATTTGACAGTGAGGCCAGAGCGACGCACAGGAGCTCCTCCTCGGAGAAGAATGCCCGGCAGTTTCCGGCGCCTGTGCAGCTGTGTGGGGCTCACCCTGCACCCTCAGAGCGAGGCATTATTTTCTCCCCTTTCTTGTCAGATACTGACTCCCACGCAGGAAAAAGGAAGCACCTTTTGTCAGATGCTGCGGCCACTTCCTCTTCAGAAGTCTCCAGCCAATGTTTCGCTTTGCAGAATGAGGGGGCCGACCCCAGCTGCCGGACTGCGTGTGCACTGGCCGCTGGCTCTCACCTCCTACTAGGTCGCAGTTCGGCCTCGTCGGGAGCAGTTGGCTCTCTGGGTCGCCGGGGATTTTCTCTGATACAGACCTGGACCTTTGAGCTGGACCTGGCTGGGGATCCACCCACCTCTCGGCCCCCTCGGGGGTTCCTCTCTCATCTCTCCACCCACTCTTTGCACACTGCTTCATGTCCCTCAGTCAGACTGCCTGTGTGTTCCTCCCCACAGCTCGGTCCAAGAGTGTGATGACCGGTGAGCCGATGGCGGCCTTCCACGCGTCATCCACTCCCAACCCGCTGGAAAGGCCTATCAAGATGGGCTGGCTGAAGAAACAGAGGTCCATCGTGAAAAACTGGCAGCAGAGGTACTTCGTGCTGAGGGCACAGCAGCTCTACTACTACAAGGACGAAGAGGACACGAAGCCACAGGTACCAGCCAGGCTGTCTCTACCGATTCCCAGGGCTCTCTGTCCAGGCACGCAGGAGGCGGGTGTGGAGCGCACTTAAATTGCTGTCAACTCTCTGGGGCCTTCTTCCTAGGACTAGACACACATTTATCTGAGAGGAGGTTACTCTCTCCTTTTCAGCATTTTCTAGTCACATATCCTGAGCTGAAAAGATGGCAGGGTGATCCTCCTCCAGGAAGCCCTGAGATGAACACTGTGGGACTTCCTAAATGCAGCTCTAAGGCACAGCTGGCAACATGGTCTTGATGGTAATGCTGAGTATGAGGGCTTAGAGAGAGTGGATTTGGGTTCAGGAAAATTGATTTGGGGATTTTCATTTATTTGTTCGTTCACTCAATATTTATTGAGCACCTATTATGTGCCAGACCATGTTCTGGGTACTTGAAATAAACCAGTGAGTAAAATAAATAAAAAGCTTTGCCATGTCAAATGTAGAAGATGAGGGGAAAGGCAGAGCAAAAACAGAAGGAATAATAAAATTTATGTAGTATGTTAGAAAATCACTAGTTCTATGAGGAAAAAATAGAATCGGTTAACAGTGGGTCAAGCGTTTGCGAGAGGTGTTACAAGTTTGAAAAGGATGGTCAAAATGATCCTATGAAAAGGGTGACATCTGAGCAAAGACTAAGGAGGAAAGACAGGAAGTCAGGCAGATCTTGGGGAAAGAGCACATTAGGCAGAAGGAATAGCCAGTGCAAAGGCCCTGAGTTGGAGCATGTCTGACATGTGTGGGGAAAAGCAAAGGGGTCAGTGTGTGGTCAGCAGAGCTAAGGACCGAGAGAATCAGAGGTGCTGAGGTCAGACAGGTGGGGGGATGGATGAAGGGCTGGGACACATTGCAAAGGACGTTGTATGTCATGTTAAGGACTTGAGTGTTTACACTGAAGGTGATGGGCAGAAAGGGGGAAATTCTTTGTCTTATGTTGTAAAAAGATGGCCCTGGACACAGTGTTCAAAAATAGATTCAACACCAGAGGGAGGAGGCACAAGGTGAGAGGTTATGATGTTTAGAATCTCAGTGGGAGCTGTGGGCTAGAGGAAAACGATCAGATTCCCGATACACTTTGAAAGTACAGCTAACAGGATTTCCTGGTGTACTGAATGGGGCTAGAGAGGGCTTTGATCGTGAACTTTGGGCCTAGATCTTTTATTTTTTGATCCTTGCTGAGGATATGTTTATTGATTTAAGAGAGAGAGAGGGAGAGAAACATTGATGTGAGAAGACACACAGCGATCAGTTGTCTCCTGTATGTTCCCCAACCTAAGAATGAACCCATGACCTAGGTTTGTACCTTGACCGGGAATTCAACCTGCAACGTTTTTGTATAGGGGACGACACTCCAACCAACTGAGCCACGCAGCCAGAGCTTGGGCCTAGATCTTTGGTTGCTGCATCACGATTCTTTATGGCTGTCATAGTGCATGAGAGTGAAAGGGGGTGTTATTAACAATTATCCTGAGACCCCAGGTATAAACTTCATGTCTTGGTGCAACCAGGACAACTGGTCACCCTATCTAGAGCTCATGTCTCTCTGGAGGTAGAAGAATGGGCTTGGCCAGAAAGAACTTATTAGGAAAGATAGACTCTACATCCTTCTGGACGCCCCCCCCCAAAAAGCCCCAAGAAGGGTGAAGATATTGGGGGTACATGGCAGGGTATGTAAAGAAAGGAGACAGTCATTTCGGTAGAGGACAGTTCTCTTTAAGGACAGACTTGAGGATGCATGAGGTATCAGCAGTACCTGGTTAACAAGGCCCTCCACTGAGGGCTGTGAGTGTCTGTCACTGCAGAGGCTACAGAAGGCCCAGAGACCCCACTGCAGACTTGGTTCTTGCTCAGCGTCCTTGCATTGTGACCAGACTTTCTTTACTTTGTGAACAACCGAGTTCTATCAGAGCTGGGTAATTACAGGCTCAGATGATGGTGACTGGCGCATTTATAGCTGATGCCAGAAGTCTTCCATCAGCAGAGAGTGAGGGAGATGGCGACAATGTGTGGGCTTTCCAGAATCAGTGGAAAGGACAGCTCAGTGGGGTTTACTTCCATGTGGTGTAGAGGATGAGAGGTATGTCCTCTATGAGCTTGTTATTTTTCTGGCTCTACTACCATCTGACCATGTGATTATTTATCTTTTTGGACCCCGGTTTTTTTTTTTTTTTTTTTTTGGTAAAATGAGGCAATCATAGCTGGCCTACATTTGTCACAGAATCAAATGATATAAAGCATGTTTTTAAAAAATACAGTTATAGCTCTGGCTGGTATGGCTCAGTGGATTGAGTGCCAGCCTGTGAACCAAAGGGTCGCTGGTTTGATTCCCAGTCAGGGCACATGCGCGGGTTGCTGGCCAGGGCCCTAGTATGGGGTGCATGAGAGGCAACTGTACATTGATGTTTCTCTCCCTCTCTTTCTTGCTCCCTTTCCCTCCCTTTAAAAATAAATTTAAAAATCTTAAAAAAAAAGAAAATGCAGTTTTATAAAAGCATAAACTGATGTCAAAGGGTAAAATAATTTATTGAAGTTCCTAGGTTTTCTCCCTTACTTCTGGAGAAGGAAACCCAAAGTCCTCTCAAGATTACATTATCTTGAGATAATTAGATAAAGCTGCTTCTAGGATGACAAGTATGGGTTATTTTGTAGGAAATCTCTTAATATAATGCATCGGATCAATAGGTCAAAATCAATAAGTCAAATAAAGAAAACCACACAACCCCTAAATCAATGGCTGTAAAAAGCTTTGGGTAAAATCAAATACTCATTTCATATATAAAAAGTTTTTTAAAAAGTTTTTACAAATGAAATGAATTTCTTAGAAAGAATATTTTACTTTATGTAGATGTGTATATTGTGATTACAAAAGCTATATGCGTACAAAAGCTCCATGAAAGGAAATTTGTAAGATGTCAAAAAGCACAAAGTAGGAAATAAAAATTATCCCATCAGCAAAAATAACTGCCCAAATCCTTACTTTTTCCAGTTTCTTCTACATATATACACATTTAGAAACTTGTCTATTCTAAATGCAGAATTATAATAATATTCTTTAATGAAAAATTAACAATATTCTAAATGCAAAAGTATAATAATATTCTTTAATAAAAAATGAACAGTTTGTCATGAATATTGTTCATTATAATTAAATATTCTACAATGTAATTCTTCATGGTAGTAAAATAATCTATTGCATGGATATTTTATAATTCATTTTATAATTCATGATAATATAGGAATGTCATTGGGCTGATGTTCCTATATTATCATTATGAACAAGAATTAAAAGGATATCTTTGTAGACTTTTTATATATCCATGCTTAAATTATTAAGATAAAGAAAAATCTATTCAAAATATAATGCTTTCATTATATTAGCATTTAATATTGTTTTGGGATTCATAGACGCTGCAAATATCTAAAATGAAATGAAAGTAACAGACGTGAGCTAAATTCTTCAGAAAAAGTAAAGGCATAATTGCACACTATGTTTCATATCATTCATGATTCTGGACGAATTAAAAAATGACTTAACTGTAAAAAAATGAGTTAATAAAAATTAGCTAAAAGAAAATGTAGTTATTCCCATACTCTCCTGGACGCAGAAGTTTTTAAGCATAGCAACAAAACAGCACAAAGGAAAGCAGATTTAAATGAAAATATCTGTACCTTAAAAACCAACATAATAAAGTGAGAAAACAAATAATAAACAGAAAATTATTTATATACATATAGTTAACAAATATTCTTAATATTTAAAGTATTCTTTCGAGTCTCTAAGAAACAGCTCAATAGAAAAATGAGCAAATGACACAAATGGTCAATTTCCCTAAAAATGCAATGCACAAAAAGCCTATAAAAATTTCAATCTCAGTAATAATTAAAAACATGCAGTGTAAGCCAATGAGATACCACTGTCATTTTATCAAATTGGCAAAGATTTTTTAATCAAATTGGCAAAGATTTTCTAAACATTTCATTGTGGTAGGGAATGGGACTTCTCAGGTGCAGCTGGTGGAAATGGAAATTCATACAGCTTTCCGGGCGAGTAATACACCTTTTAAAAATGCAAACCCTTTCACCCTGCATTTCTAGTTTTAGTGATTTAACCTAAATGTGTGATTAACATTGATGAAGATAATTAAATTTAGCTATGCACGTTTTCACCACTGTGTTGTTTGTAACAGTAATATGGAAATAATGCTCAGTGGTAGGGGTGAAATTATATAATTATATCAGGGAACTTCTTTCTCTCTCTCTCTCTCTCCACACACATACACACACACGCACTAGAATACTCCATTGACACCCTAATTAGTACTTGTTGAAATTGGAAGATATCCATAATATTATTGTTTTGAAAAAAATAGTTTACAACAAAGGATGAAGTGTACAAAAGTTTGGAAGGAAATACATAGACCTGTTAACTGGTTATCTCTGAGTACTGGCATTACACATAATTTTACATTTTCCTCTTTTTTGTTTACTTTCTAATTTTTCTATGACAAAAATACAAACTCATTGTAAATTTAAAAAGAATACACACTGATTCCAGAAAACCTCAAAGATGAAGACACCCTAAAAATCTAAGAGCAGTCAAATAGGTGAAAAGGCCCTCAAGTGTACTGATGATATGTGTATAAGTTGGTGCAACCTTTCTAGAGAACAATTTGACCAGGTTTCCAAGAGCCAAAAAAAATATCATACCCAATCATTCTGGTTTTAAGAACCTATCCAAAAGTAATGACATATGGAGTGCTATTTATAGTGAGAAATATTGGACCTAATGTCCAACAAAGGAGAATGATTACAGTAGCTATGGAATGCTAATGATGGACTTCTGTGTATATGCTTTTGAGAACCTCAAGGCTTGATGGAAGGCAGTCTGTGCATTTTTTTTCCTCTGAATTCTCAAAAAGATCTGCAGCTCTCACAGCATAATGCTCTGTAACTCTATGACCTAGCCTTTATAT